AGCAGGCTGCAAGCCAGGCGTTCAGCCGCCCCACATGGACCATGTCCGCGTCTCCGGAAAAGGTGCTGGGAGCACCAGCGCCTGCCCATACCTTCTACTGTGTGCGCTGCTGATGGGGGGACCTGCACATCTGAGCTACCTCCTTGCACAACTGGAACGGGAGGGCTTCCAGAGCGTGCAGGTTCCTGGGGGAAATGGCAGCATTTCTATTTAATTTTGAACCAGAAATTGTCAATTATGGAGGATCCAGAAAGGCTGTTTTAAGGTTTTTAGTATTTTGTTTTTAATGTTAATAGTACAAACAGTTCATCACTTTTATCTGAGTTGTGGTTCAAAGCAATAAGAAAACCAAAAATGTGAGGGAAAAAAAAAAGAAGAAAAAGGTTCTCATATGCATAATATACTGCAAACTCCTTTATAACTGAGTAGCGATGATGAGAATAATTACTCGTTTTTCCTAACAGCAGCACCAAATTTTTTAGTACCGAAGTTCCTGGTGCTATGTGGCAATATTTGTTAGAATTTAACTTGTCTGCAATAGCATTTCAAGAATACACATTCCTAGTGTTTTTGTGCAACATGCTCTTGAAATACCATTTTTAGACCAGAACTACTACTTAGGATTCTTTCAAGCTTAGGTCTAAATTGTCACACTTATCATAAAATTAGAACTTATCAAGGTTTTACTCTGAAATCTGAATATTTTCTTTGAAAATACAAATATTTTGTATTTCTGAGTATTGAAACACCTATGCACATACACAAATCTGCGTTACATAGTGATTTAAAATAACATCTCTTCCACCTTGGCAATGCGTGAAGACAAGTCACAGTGCTTCTCAGACACCCCAGGCCATGTTGCAAAACCCGATGTTTTTTTGACAATTATCTAGCCAGAACACAGATGAACTTTCCTAGGCCCTTTTTAAACACAAACCAATCATGTTTTACAGACACCAAGCAGTAACTCACCGTTGCCCCCTCGTTCTCCACGCACAGCGGCAGCCGCAGCAGCTGAGGTGCCGCACGGACAACCGGTCCCCGGGGCGAGCGCCGCGTGCCGGGCGCCCGGCCAGCAGGGAACCTTCGAGAGGGAACCGTAACAGGAAGGCTGCCCGTGTGAACGTGGTGCCACCGACCAGGGCACGCAGTTCCCTGCGGCTCTGCAAACAGCCTGGGCCCGGCCTGGTTTCCACTAGGTCACTGCTCCCGGTGGCACCTGCTCCCAGGAATGCTGACTTGGCACAAGGCTCCGGCCAGACAAACAGCGTCCACTCACAGCCCTTGCACAGAGAGGGGATTTGAGCAGAAACCGCGTCAGGAATTCACAGCAAGGGGAGCGCTACCAAGTGTCTGCATCTGCACCACCACGAAGGACGATTCCCACCTTCCCATTTTTTCCCACGAAAGCTGCTCCAGAGGCACGTCACAGGGCGTGCTTCACTCCCTTCCAGATGGCACCCTTGAAAGAAGGAACAAAGTCACCGCTCTGTTCTCCAAGCAATCGTTCGCTCCCAAATCTCTCCCTGACAGCTACAGGAGGCTATTTTTAGAGCTGCATCTCCAGATCTCCTGGCCAATACACAGAGCAATCGCGCCAAGGGGAGGCCAGACACCACAGCAAAACCCAAGCTGAACACACGTCTTTTACCTCATCAAACCTAAACCCGGTGTTTGCGACGGGGAAGGCCGGAACCCATCATCCGCTTACCCAGTTAATTAAAGTTCTTTCTTGAGTGAATTTAGGAGTGTGCCATCACTCAATCTTTCTCTAAAAAGGTATGATATTTTTGGTTCTCAATGGAATACAATGAGAAAACATGAGGGGAGGAAGAGGGAAATCCTTACAAAATTTCATACAAGCTTTTCTAACCGTTATCTGAAAATTCATGCAATTATCTGAATTCAAACAAGGTCTTACTATCTTCAAACTGCCTAAAATCCAACTTAAGCTCCCCGCTAGAGATGGGCTAGATACTGATATTCAAGGTAAAGTTGTCATGCTTGCCCATCAGCTAACAAACAGATTTTAATCAGTCTTTCCATGGGTCAGTCAGCTTTGTAATGTAAAACATTCCCTGGTTACTGATTTCTAATTAATACACAATTTTCTTG